GTCAGTGTCCTCATGTTGGGCCTTTTTTATTAATTTTTTCTGGGAAAATAAGTGTCCCTATGTCGAATTGTCCACAGGTCGAGGTGTCCGCATGTTGGGGTATCACTGTACTATTATATTATTGTGGGTTGAGGACTAAGAAAAACTTGTCATGTAGCAAAAAATAGTTTCCTTGAGCGTATATTTTTTTATAACTCGAATTTTCTTTATTCCTTCGAACAACAAACAAAAACTTAAGTGTATACAAGTTTTTGTTTATTGGCCGATCAGAAATTTATCAGGGAAAAATCAGATTTTCAATAAAAAATATTTTTAACAGTGAATTCAATGAATTTTCCCCAGTGAAGAACTGAAGACACAATTTTATTCAAAATGTGTCAGATAGATAAATGTTTTATTCAATCGGTTTTTTTAATAATGGAGATTTGAAAATATTTTCCGCAACTATATTTTATACCGTAAAATGTGAAGCAAAATCGAGAAATTTAAATGCTGTACTGTAATTGTTGTAGAAACTGTGGGAGCAACAGTCAACCAAATACATTGTTTCACTGAATGTAAATTTTCAATACATTGTTTATATACATCTAGGAATGAGAGAATCAGAGAATCAAACTGACGATTCGCTCAGTTCATTGTTTTTCTCAAGAAAAAATGCTTGCTTTTCAAACTCGAAAGTTCTCTAATTTTGTGGATCCCTTTGAGTGTACAGTATTCAGTTTTATATTCAAGGAACCTATTTTACATGCACAGTATATTGTAGCAAAAAGCAAATAGAAATGCTTCCACGCGCAGGTCTTGAAAAAATGTTTCAACATTTGCATATGAACATGGGTATGAAGGTAAGAAATGCCGTAATATCATAAACCAATTCCATCCACATTAACATTTAAAGATCATTATTATTGGGGCATCAATTCCGTTTTTGATGGAGGCATATTGAAGACGACTTTGAAGTCATGTTACAAGCATTTAGTATATGGTAAAAATTGTTTTGTCCATGTGCCTACAGACTATATTCCCGCATAATTCAGAAGCCACGAACCGAACTAATTGGGAATCGTGGCCAAAATCAAAACACCCGGATCAGCTTTCAATGGCTTATGAAGTTCAATTCGAGTTGCAATATGAGCCTGTTTATGTAGCCGACAATCGAGTGCCAGCCTTTGATGAACGATTTCAAGGTTACGGAGACACCAGATGGACTCAGGTAAATATTTTTCGCTCATTTTTTAGAGAGAGAGAGAGAGAGAGAGAGAGAGAGAGAGAGAGAGAATAATGTTCTTTTTATTCTCATGTGTTCAAATGACAAATAATAAATTTCAAAACGGGATACAATACTGATGTACTGTACTCGGTATATCATCCTCTTCAGCGTGATAATTTTTCAACAGGCCTTATTTTCAAGTTTTTGATGGACAAAAATGAGTTCAGTGCAATATAATGTCCATAGTGATAACTTCCGATGTCTAAGAAAAATTTGCCCTTTTCACTTATAAGTACTCAGCGTATATTAAAATAGTGATATGAGTGAGAGTTGAAATGATTCCATCAATAAGTTGCTGGTTTCCGTATTTATCGAATCGATGCATTTATTAATACAATAAAATAAAATGAGTAAAATACAGGCAGCATGTTTAAATTTCTACGAGGGCTTCGTATATAGGTCTTTTTAAATTTCTTAATTTTTTTTGTGAATTCGGGACTTTTTACGCATTCAGAAGATTTGAATTCGGACGAACCCCTAAGCTCCATTATTGTTGATTTTTCACTCGATCCCAATTTACAGAGACAATCACATGTAAGTAGGAAAAATTTGCCCTTTTCACTTATAAGTACTCATCATATATTAAAATAGTATGGGCTTCTGCCAGCAAAGATGAATACTGCTTTGAAAATGTTGAACTGTACAATATATTTTGAAATGACCTATTTTGAAGCATTATCTTAGTAAATTGAGTATTGCGACTTCCATTCGGCAATCCTTTGTATTTACGCGTATCAGAATTTTTTGACCATATTTTCATTATGCTCTTGCGTTTCTATAAAATAATGCATCAGTTAAACCTCTCTAAGTGGAATTTCAAGGCACCAGGAAAAAAAATTCCACTTTGGGAAGTTTTGACTTTAAGAGGTTTCCATTTAAGGGAGGCTTCTATAGTCTAAGGAAACAAGCATTCTTTTCAGGAAACATGAAAGAATTGCGGGACAATTTAAATGGTGATTTTCTGGGCCTTATAAATTACTTCTTAAATGAGTTTACATGCTGAACTTTTAGTCAGGGGTTCATTTGCACAATTAGTCTTTCACTTCCTTTCAAACCAAATTACGTCACTTGTTACAGTACATTGTTTTTCTCTGTCATGTACATCAAGAAGATAATAGCCAACACTCTACAGAAAATTCAATTTGAGGAGGTTTTGAGAGAAAAAGGCTTTGAGGTAGGGAGGTTTCTAATACATGATGGTTTTTAAGGGAATTCAGACGGGAACTTGAAAAAAAATTCGACTTATGGAGGTATGCAACATAGGGAGGTTTGACTTATCCAGGTTCAACTGTATTTTAACTATCCTTACATGGTAAACATTTTCAACGAAGAACCAAAAATCTTGAATTGCGGTAGTGATGTTCAAATTTTAAAAACCTTAATTTGCCTCGGAAGAAGATTTTTTGAATAATTTAGATGTTATCCGTACCAGAGGATATTTTGGGGAACGTTATGGGTGTTTATATCCTCCTGAAATGCCGTTATTCTTATTGCAGGCCTACGAAACCTACGTAGCTGGGTACTCATTCAGGGTACTGGACGATGCGTTTCTGGTTCACTGGGGTTTTCAGTACGCAGGTAGGAAACCTCAGTGGCGGGAAGATCAGCAGAAGGCCAATCACTGGCGCCTCAGGGGATTCGGGGAAGATCTCAAACTGAAATACGGAAAAGACCCCTTGGATCTGTTTAGTTTTGCATTGTCGTCGGAAACGCTTATGAGGAATTCTTCCAGAATCGGTGTCTGGTCAGATGATGCTCTGGATGTTTTGATTCTGATCAGTAATGCGACTGCGGAAA